TAAATCTATCCTTCAGGTAGCGTCTACCGACGCGCCTCTCGGGCGTGTGGCCATTTCTCTCTCTCTCTCTCTCTCTTTCGCTTTGATGTCTCGCCTTGCGGCACAAAGGCGGAAGGAAGCCAGGACAAGGGAGAGCGAGGACGACCCGAAAGCGGCTAGCACGGTCTTGCTCGATTCGAAGAAGAGAAAATGGCAGAGACATAAACTTTTGGCGCTCCGCGCGGATGTCTTGGACCGGCGCCTGGGCCCCCCTCAGCGGCGGCGCCCCTGGCGCACTCCGCGCGCCAGGAAGGGGGCTCTAGCGCGGAGCCCAGAATTCCGCGCGGAGCGCCAAAAGTTTTTGCAAGTTTGAAGCGTTTTCCTAACCATGTGTTTGGCATCACCTCGCTTCGATGCCGATCTGAAGGTGTCCCTCGGTTTCTGAGGGCACATCCCTAAGACTGTCCTCGTTTTTTTGCTTGCCCATCTGAGGGATAGGGATAAGTTTCAGGCTGGTTAAGTTTATGCTTATGGCGTTTGTTCTTCTTCCAGTCTTGCCCCACCCCTGCTTCGCACGCCTGGTGCCCTGCTGGTGCCCCCGCCCATTCTTTCTCGTCGTTTGGCTCTCCTTCTGCTCGCTCTCACGCCCGAGGGCCCGATCCCCCGTCAGGAGGAGGAGGAGGGGGAGGAGGTCCACCCCAGCCCCTTCAGCTGTCCTCCCTTCCATATCCTCCTGCGCTGCCGCGCCTCAGGCTGAGCCCTCGTGGCCTGGATCCACAGTGGTCCGTGGACGGCAGTGGCAGAGGGTGACACAGACCACGCACTGCTGCACGCAGTCGCGCCAAGTAGAGGTCCAGAGCCAGACTCCTCCCCTCCCCCCCCTCCCAATGCCGAAACGCCAGATAAGGAACACGTTCGCCTGTCGTTTCCGTGGTTCCCGTGGCTCCTGGGTGGCGGAAGTGGCAGGAGGAGGATGAGGAGGAGGAGAGAGCGGAGCAGATCTCGAGACCCAACCCAGGGAGCAGCCTCAAGTTCGGGGAGGAGGCGCCGTCCTCCCTGATGTGAGGCCTGGCAGACAGATGATGCTAAACAAGCATATCCTCCTACGCTCTCGCCCTCCCCGCCCTCCACTGTTACGTCGGGCATGCTCCTTCTACAGGAGGAATATTCAAACATAGTAGAAGCATTGTCTGGTGACGATCTTCCGTGCTCTTTCGTTTGTTGGTGATTTGTTGACTCTAATGTGTTCTGGCTGTAGTAGGACATGCCCGACCGAACTCCAATCTCAGAGATCTCACCGAAGAGTGCAATTGAATCCTTCAAACTGGTTGAGCAAGAGCGGCTCAGACGGGTACCAGAATTCCGGATGCTTCACCCAACCCCACCAGCCCATCCAGAAACGATGCCCAGTCGAGTTGACCAGGTCAGGGATATGGGAATCATACGGTCGAAGAGAGGGCTGGGGAAGCCGTCGTACCCCAAGAGAGGGGATGGAGGAGGAACTGGAGGAAGAATTGGAGGAGGAATCGGAGGAGGAGGAGGAGGAAGAGGAGGAGGAGGAGGAGGGGGGAGAGGAGGAGGAGGGACCTCCTCCCTCCTCCCTCTTCCCTCCCACCTCCTCCCCCCTCCCTCCTCCTTCCCCCTCCCCCTCCTCCTCCTCCTCCTTCTCCTCCTCCTCCCCGTCCCTCTCGCCCCGGGTTCCTTCGCCTTCCATGCTGCGCAATGTCGCGCTGCGGGTTGCAGCGCAGGTTTTTTCCGCAGCGCCTCGACTTTGATCGGGGACAGCCGTAATTTCGAAATCTCGTCGGCCAGTGGGGCACCGGTGGTCCTGAATCTTCGGCTTCAAGCTGGCCTTGAAGCATGTCAAATTTCGAAACGGACACTGCTCCTTCAGGTGTTCGTCGTCCCCTCCTCCCCCCTCTCGTGGCTGGCTCGGACGGGGCGAGGGCGAGGATACATCCGTGCTGGAACGCTCTGAGAAGGCCGCGGCGCCCGAGGCATCCTCCAGAGCCGCCGGAACTCGGAGATTCTCGATTTATCCCCACCCGAACCCAGACATGCGACGTCCTGTTTTTTCCGGCAGGGCGTTCCCGGAAGTCCAGACCCTTTCCCTAGGACCGGCTTTTCATCCTGAGTCGTTTTTTGACGGTCTCTGGGACTGGCGAGGGCCCCCAGGGGTCGAAAATACAGAAAAAACGCCCGTCCTGATTGCTGTACGACGCGATCACGCCTGGGAATGCATCCTCGTCCTGGCTTCGTTTTCATGGCGCCAGGCGGCGAGCTCCCCGTCGTGCAGACGCTGTACGGGCACGTGAGCAGCCTGCAGTGGGCCGCCGTGGACTGCTCCGCGGCGCGGCCGGCGGCTCTCGCGGAAGGCTGCCCTGAAGTTCTCGCTCCCTGCGACCAGAAATCTCTACGCGAGTTTGTGGGGACTTTTTGTATGTTGTTTTGCAGGGACATATTCTTATGTAAAAAAAGATTTGGGCAAGTTTACTTGCATGGCGTTAGTCCCCCCCCTCCACCCCCCGCCCCTCTTCAGACGAGCACTGGCGTGCAAGTGCCTTTCGACTTGCGTGGTTTCCGCACGTGCGAGTCGCTTGCGGCTTACTTCAGGTTCAAGCCGCCCCCCCCGTCCATGCAAGCCCACCTGCTGGCGTCTAAAGAACAGGCTCCTGTTCTTTGCAGATGCTCTCGCCCTCTGGGCGCTCTCCAGACGCAGGGCGCTCGCGGGGCCCATGGGCCCCTGCCGGGGCCCGGGGTCGCCAAGAAGCTGCCCACGATGGAAAGCCGGTCCCCAGGAGCGGGCCTGCACTGCGGGGGAGCCGCGGCGAGACCAAAAGCACGACGTCGGAGATGTCTGGGTAGGGGAGCCGGATGGGGCAACGGATCAGGTGCTTTTCTTGCGGGGTCCAGAGCTTGACCGAGAGATCGATCCTCGAGGAGGCCAGCATGGGGGGGGCAGGGGCAGTTTTGCCCAGCATGCAGCGGCCTCCCGCTCGGGCGCTCCTGCTGTGAAAATCTGGCCACCTGGCCCGCGTGGGCGCCTAGTTCGGCAGCGTTGATAGCCAGAAGCCCCCAAAGCCCAAAGGAGGACGAGGAGAGAGCAGGGAGCAGCAGGACCATGAGGAGGACGATATGTGGCGCCGCGCCGTCTGCTCCGACGCGCGGCCTTCCGTCTTGGGAAGGGCGCCGCGGCCGCCAGAGCAAACGCCGCCTCGGGCGCGGAGGGTTTGCCGTGGGGTTTGCCGTGGCGCCGGCCTCGTCTATCTGGGGCGCGGGGCGCAGGGCTTGCCGTGGGCTTGCCGTGGTGTCGGCGTCGTCCATTTGGGCGCGTCGAGAACAAACGGCGCGGCGACAGTTGAAGGAGGAGGAGGAGGAGGAGGAGGAGGAGGAGGAGGAGGGAGGAGGGAGGAGGGAGGAGGGAGGAGGGAGGAGGGAGGAGAAGGAGGAGGAGGAGGAGAAGGAGGAGGACAACGACGACGGGAGCAAGGAACATGTGGAGGAGGGGCAGGAGCAGCATGAGCAGAAGGTTTTACGCACGGAACACGAAGACCAGAGTCCAGGCCTGACCAGAGGGAGGGCCCGTGGATTCGTCAGGGGCCCCGCCCCTCGAGGAGAACCTCCGACCAATCCCAGGTCTCGAGGGGAAGCGGGGAGAGCATCAGTTCTCGGCGGCGAGCGAGGGAGGGAAGTGTGTGAAAGAGAAGGCCTTCTCGGCAGGCGGCGGCGGCGCTTCTTAGAAGCCCTCGCGCCTCCTGAGAAGTGTTCAGCGTCGTCGGGGAAGGCTTGTGATACTTTGCAGAAGGCCGGGGGACTTCCGACGAGCCATCTGGCCAGAGGCGACGACAGGGGCGAATAGCCCAGGGGAGAGCAATCCATGTCTTCAGGCGCGCCGATGATCCATGTCTTCGAGAAGGGCTTCCGGGCGAATACGCGTACTGCCCGCCCCTCTTCCTGGGCGTCGACCTGGTCAAGTCTCCCAGTGGCCCGTCTCCCTAATTAAAGCTGTGCCTAGCCCGCCCAGCTTTTCGCGGAAGAGGTTCGCTCTCGCCCCGCAGATCAGACAGTGCATTGCCCGCCCCTGGGCTGTTCGCCCTTCTCGCCGCCGCCGATCTGGGCAGGCCCGCCCCTGCGCACCATCCCCCCCCCCCCGGGGGGCGCGCCGCCGAGCGAGCCTCCGCGGAGAAGTGGCCGCCGCCGGGCGAGCCCGGCGGCGCGCTGCTCCCGCGCGCTGCACCGGGGGCCGGGCGCGGCTCCCCCGCGGCGTCGAGCGCGCGGGGGGCGGCGTTCCCAAAGGGGGCGGCGTGCCGCCGATCCTGGGCGTCGGCGCTCTTTCTCCCCCGAGCTCGGCCCCCCCCTCTCAAGCAGTGGCGAAGCGTCCTGGCTGGCTCGCTTGTAGTTGTGGAAGGCGACTTAGTGGAGAGGAAGCGTGCTGCCAAATCACTTCCAGGTGTCTAAAGCATGTGTCAAACAGGTTTTAATATATAAAACATGCTTGGAACATGTTTAGAGCATGTTTTACACATTTTAAACACATGCTTAATTCAATGCTAGGATTGTTAGAGTGTCTATTGTGATGGCATCCACAAGTTTATAGGCCCAACTAAGAATGTTTTGAGAACCTTCTATGCTCTGCGGGAAATGCTCTCGAGAACACTTCTGGCCGAGACCGTCCTCTTTTAGCGCAGCGGGCTGATGTTCTAAGAGCATCGTTTCTGTTCCTAGGACATGTTTGGGGTTCTGAGTGCATCTGGTGGCAGGCTTAGAGGAATGCCGGGACGGTCGGTCCCTGCTCAACCCTTGCGGCGTGCCGTTGATGGTTGGCCTCGGCTCTTCCTCCCCCGAGCTCGGCCCCCCAATCCTCGCTGCTGCGGCCGTGGCCTCCCGCCCTCCACGAGGAGGGCAGAAGATGGGCGCGGCAGGCAGCGCTGCTTACGGCCCGATCTCGATCCCCGACCCCATCCCCTAGACTTCCGTCAGGCATGTCCCTCTGCAGGAGGGATCGTCGGGAATGGTTGCTAATTCGCCTGGGGACGATTTTCCGTGCTCCTTTCGTCATTTGTTCTGGCATGTTCTGGTTATTTGTTTTGTTTCTCTTCCAACATCCGCCTGTGGCAGAAAATGTTGGCGGCGCGCAAAAAGGGGGTAAGGGGAAGGGGAAGGCTTCTTAGAAGCACGCACCCCTGCTTCGTAGAAGGCGCGTTGCCTGTCTGTACATGCAAGGCCGGCGCCTTCTAAGAAGTTGTCTCCTTCTGAGAAGCCTTCCCCCCTCCCCCTGGCCCCTTGCACCGTGCGTCCACCCACCCAGTGTTTCGGCTCACTTTTGGTTGGGAGGGCCAAAATCGCAAGGGCGTTCATCCCAAAACGGGAGCGCGTTGGGTTCGATGCGTCGGTGGGGGGGCCCAACTGTTGCTTCGCCAGGAGCAACATACGGAACAGGGGCAGCCCGCCACATTCCCAATCGTTGCACTCGCGGTGGCGGATTTTGGCCGAAATTCTGAGGCAAAATCCTGTCGAGCATGCACCCCTGAAGGTGCGAAAACGGTAGGACGGAAATGTCCGCTTCCAGACAGGAAGGGCGGACCTGTCCGCAACGGGTGTGGCACAAACAGCGATGGCAAAGCGGGGCGGAACGCGACGTCAAGGCAGCTTGCAAAGGAGGGCGGTAGTCCCAGACCCCCGACGTCGTGATTCTTTCACAGCGTCGACCCCCAGAGGTCTGGACCCCTTCCCGGGGACCTGTTTTTCGTCTCGAGTCGCTTTGTTAACGCCCCCGAGGGCCAGATCCTTTCCCCGGGGCCGGTCTTTCCATCCCGAGTCTTTTTTTTACTATCCGGGGAACGGGCGAGGGCCCCCAGGGGCCGACGATAGCGAAAAGCCGCCCGCTCTGATTTTTGCAGCGACGCGATCATGTCTGGGGTTGGCTTCACTGGCCGCGGAGGGCAGCTCGATCCTCCTTCCCGTCACAGCGCATCCGCGGTCGCACTGCCACGGGGTGGGTTGGCGCTCCAAAGGAGCGACACACGCCGCGGAGAGGACGCCACGGGTCCCGTTTCCATGGGAAGTCGCAGATTTCCGCCGCCGAGCGAGGCGGCACCGGCCGCATTTTCGACAGGGCACCTCCCCCGATCCCTGGATTTGGCGACCGCGCGCCAAATCCATAGATCGCTAGTCCATGTTAGCGCGCCCCCCACTTACCAATCGGTCGTTGAAAGTGTGTTTTTCTGGAGTCCCATATTCCAATCAATTTTAGGGGCCTTCCTACTCCTGTGATAGAGAGGGCGGAGACCCAATCTGCTTCCAACGTCTTCCTACTTCCAACGCCTTCATACTTCATGTTTCTACCTACTTTTTCAGACCGATGGGTACTCGCAAAGTGCCTACTCGCAAAAGGTCAAACAATGAAACATGTGTCTTGACGTCACGGATCGCAGCTCGCCCTCGGTGGATCCGGACCATTTGCGAGTAGTTATTGCTAAGGCCTGACGGCCGGAACGGCGACCCTGGAGGCCTCGGCCCTCGACAGAAATGGGGGGGAGAGGGCGGGCCATTTTTCCGGGGAGGGTGGTACTATTCTGACCCGGGACCATTCCCTGGGACCCTCCCGGGGACCCTCCTCGGGAACGCCCCGTCGGGACCCCAACCCCCCACTTCCGCGGGGAAGGGATCAAAGGGAAGGGGCTTCCCGTCGACTCAATGACAACGTTGCTTAATTTCGCTGTGGATTGGCTGGTATATTTCGCTTTGGTTGGCGTGCTTGAGGACGAGGGTCCAAGGAAAGGGAGGGTCGCAACTCCCCCTCGGCGGATCCGGGCCATTCGTGAGTAGTTGTTTTTCAAAAGTGGCACACGCTTGTCTACTATGTGGGGGCTTTCCGACCATCGCACCTTCCGCGAGTCCGCGAGTCACCGGCCCACCTCCAGGTCTTCGGCCACAGTTCGGGGGAGCGTAAGACCCGGGTTTGCCGGGACTCGGGTTCGCCATCGTTTTTTGACGACCGCGCCTCGGATTTTGACGAGGAGGAGTTTCGTGGGATGTCTGCAGCGGGAGGCCTCGTCAAAATGCAGGCTCGGCCTCGTCATTTTTTTGACGACCTCGTCGGGGATTTCCGAGTCCCCCGTACCCGGGTCTTACGTCTCCCCAGACAGTGATTCGCTGGATGCGCCGGCAATCGGGGCGCCACCTCATCACACCAGCGAGGTGGGGTGCTGTCCAGTGGCGATGACGTGCCCAGCACCACCTGTGAGAACTAGTGCAGGGCGCTTGCATGAGCGCTTCTTCCAGGTTCCCTGAGACTTCATTGTTCTCTTGAGGAGAGGAGAGCAGAAAGAGAGAGGGAGTGGGAGATAGAGAGAGAGAGAGAGAGACCACGCCGTGGCCTCCCCAAATCCCAGTGCATTCAAGGACTGGGACTTCGCGGAGAAGAAGGAGAATTGGTGGGCCGCTCAGTTGTGCGCGGCTGTCCGGGTTGGGGTCTGCAGGAGCTTCCGATTTCATGTCGAGGGTGTCTCTGCGCCAGTTCATCGGCGATGCATCGGCGATGTGCTGCCATCCTCCGCATCCGCCTGTTCTGGACCCATCTTGGCGGCATCCAGAGGACAGTGAGAAGGGCGAGGAGGCGGGAGGAAGGGAAGGGAGGAAATGAGAAGAAGAGGTCTACGCTGGATGAGAACAGACTACGTGGAGCCTGGGCGGTACAACCCCATATGGACTTCGTCGGCGTCTGCGTAGATGGCCTCTGGACATTGGGGATAGTAGATCCACGCTGTGGCTGGGTACAGTCAGCCCGCATAGTAAGGATGAGTGACTTTCCAAGGTTATCCTTGCATCCCTCCCGTTCGGCCCATCCTTGGCCGCTTTCGCTGGCCGCGCCCCGCTCGTAAAGTGTCCACATGGCTTGCGTCCTTATTTGTACGGGTTTACTGTAGCTCCACGCTGTGGCTGGGTAGTTCAGCCTGGCGCCACGGAGCATCTTTCTCGCCAGCCCGCGGTCGCTGACAGCCGACGTGGGGTCCTCCAGCTGCGGATGGTTCGCGGGGTGGGTCGCGGGGTGGATCGCGGGGTGGGTCGCGGGGTGGGTCGCGGGGTGGGTCGCGGGGTGGGTCGTGGGGTGGGTCGCGGGGTGGGTCGCGGGATGGGTCGCGGGGTGGGTCGCGGGGTGGGTCTCGGCTGGGTCGCGGTTGAGACGACGACGACAACAAACAACAAACAGTAAACAACAAAAAACAACAACAACAACTTGTTTAAGACTGTTCGCCCTTATATGCTCGAGTGTCCAATGACGCGTATTCCCCAAACCCACGATACCCGCCCTCTTCGTCTTCGATCGAACCCCTTTTGGGGGGTATACCTTTCTCCCCTGCAGGCCGGGCCCCGGCAAGCGGCGGGGCGGCCGCGGACCGTCGGCCTGGCCAGCGGCAGCGCTGATCGGCGGGGCGGCCGCGGACCGTCGACCCGACCCCAAGAGGGACGGACAGGGGACCGACCACGACGACGACGACGACGACGACGACGACGACGTCGAAGACGACGGCGACGACGACGACGGCGACGACGAGCGAACGCGAGAGCGAGAGAGAACGACAGCAGGGCCACGAATGGCACGAAGTAGGTCACGAAGGGCGACAGCGGGGACACGAAGGGAATGCGTATGGGGCCACGAAGAGCGCAAACGAGCGGGGGCCACGAAATGCAGATAATGCGGGGCCTCAACTATGGGGCCACTGAGGGCAGCAACTGGGCCACGTAGGACAGTGAGGGGGACACAAATAGCGACAGCGGGGCCACGAACGGCATGCACATGGGACCACAACGGGCGCGACTCATGGGTGCCTGGTTGTCGGGAGCGCGGCGCTTGGGCAAATTGCAGGGAATCCCAACGCAAGGCCATTCTTCAGTAAGTTGTAAGCAAGTCTCCAGCGAGAGCGCGACTCCAGAGCGCCGGGAGAGCGATTCCTGAATAAATGATAAGGACGTCCCAAGCGAGAGCGCGATTCCTGAATAAAATGCGAGGAAGTCTCGGGCGGGAGCGGGGGTCCCGGCTAAATTGTAAGGAAGTCTCCGGCGGGAACCGTTGTTGTTGTAACCCGGGGGCCAGGGGCCCAGTTTGAGCATCAAGATTTTCCCTGTTAAAAAAAGGGTGCGAGCGTCGAGGGGCACACTTTGATTGAGAAAAACCGTATGCACCGGTGGGGGGGGGATCAACAATAATTATTCTTCAGAAACGAGAATTCTTCTTCTTCAACAACAACAACAACAACAACAACAACAACAACAATTACTAGCACGTGGGGACACTCCGTTCTCACCAGTGCCAGGGTTTTTATACGACGCCCGCCAATACCCCCACTTTGTGGGGGGGCCGGTTCAAGCTCTACCACATTTCCAAACGACTCTTCGCCACCACCCACACCCAGCTTCCCGCCCTATGACGTTCGGACACTTCACTTCGTGGCCTGCGGACGACCGTGGCTACTACACTGGCGCATGGGTACAGTGACTTGTTGTGGTAACATTTTCTGGACGCTAGCTTAGTATACGACTTTGGTAACCCCGACGACGACGACGACGACGACGCGACACGCGCGCATGTGTCCCGCATGGTATGTTTTGCAAGGGATTGTGGCCCCTGGCAGGCGCGCGAACGCCGTTGAAAGAGCTTGCGAAAGTAGCTCGCGCGAGCTCATGTAACATAAATGTTGAAAAACCATTGGTTTTTTAGGATTCGGACAGCGCGCGCGGGTAGAAATTTTGAAAATTCGTACAGATGTTTTTCGAGGACCTACGGTGCGATTCGTATGATTTTATGTTGCGCGGTGCTAAAATTCCTAAGAAACCCAATGGTTTTTGAAGATTTCGGCGTGCGCGCGCGAAGAAAAAACGAATGTGTCCCGCATGGTATTATTTGACAGGGATGATGGCCCTGGCAGGTGCGCAACCGTTGTTGGCAGAAGTTCGAAAAAGTTGCTCGCAAAAGCCCGTTTGACAGAAATGTTTAAAAAGTGTTGGGTTTCCTACAAATCCGCAAGAGCGCGCGGGATGAAATTTTGACATTTTTTTTTTTTGAAAAACCATTTTTTTTTTAAAAAAAATGTTTTTATGTTAAAATCGCTACGAACACTAAGGTTTTGGAAGGATTTCCTCTTGCGCGCGCGAATGTCCACTTTACCTTTTTTTTTGCAAGGGATTCTTGAAGTTTGGTTATGTTCGAACAAGAAATGTCCACTTTGCCCTTTTTTTGCAAGGGAAAACCGCCCGTAACAAAACAACCGGATCCGGACCAACCCGTTTTGCCGGAGACTTCTTCACGAAAATGATGAAAACATGGCTGCGGCCTAGGCGCGGCGAGGGGGCCGCGCACCAGGGGTCCCAACAATGATTATTCTTTAGAAGTAATAATGTTCAACAACAACAACAACAACAACAACAACAACAACAACAACAACAACAACAACAACAACAACAACAACAACGCAACAAGCAGAAGTCTCACCACGAATTCCTTATTCAGCCACGCACCCAGGACAATGAATTACCGTTCGGCCCCCTCACTCTGATAATCCTGTTCCTTCAGCTCCTACTCTGCCGTATTCGCCATTCTGGTTCCAAGGGCGCCATACTGCATTACCAGAGAAGTGGACTGGCCCTAGCCCACATCAGCCATGGGGCGCGTGCGTACCAAGACCGTGAAGAAGGCGGCTCGCGTCATCGTGGAGAAGTACTTCCCAAAGCTCACGCTGGACTTCCAGGTGAACAAGAAGATCGCGGAGGAGGTCGCGACGATCCCGTCGAAGCGCTTGCGCAACAAGATTGCCGGCTTCACCACGCACCTGATGAAGAGGATCCAGCGCGGCCCGGTGCGCGGCATCTCCCTGAAGCTGCAGGAGGAGGAGCGCGAGCGGCGTATGGAGTACGTGCCGGACCGGTCCGAGGTGGACATCGAGAACATCCAGGTGGACCCCGACACGCGCGACATGCTCAGGGAGCTCGACATGGACAAGCTGCCCAACATCACCACCGGCTCCCTGGGGCTCGGGCGGGCCATGGGCCGGCGCTGAGCGCCGGGCGTGCGCGCGCGCGCGGCCTGCCATCGCGGCAATCGGGTGCAGCATTGGGGGGGGAAGGGCTGAGGGGGGGGAATGCATCGACTCCCAACCGCCCATTCGTCCTCCTCCTCTTCTTCTTTGGCATCCTCCCAGAGCTCCCCCTCGCCGAGTGGAAGAGAGGACAGGCGGGCGTGGGTCAGCACTGTGAGAGAAGCCCCCATGTCTGTTGGTGGGGACGGCTCTCATCCCGATGCTTTCCCATGCTGGCGTGTTCTGCCCTGTAGCCCCGAAGGGTGTCCAATCCTAGAGCTCCTCCTCCTCACCCGGGAGGCGTCGATTCCAGACACCGGCCAGAGCAGCAGCAGGAGGAGGAGGAGGGGGAGGTGCTGGTGGTGGAGGTGGTGGAGGAGGACGAGGAGGAGGAGGTGGACGGGGACGGGGAGGGGGAGGGGGAGGGCTGCCTGACCTGTCCCCAGCCCCACCGCACCGTGGTGTCTCGGCCCCCCTCAGCCCACCCTCCCAGGTGGGGATGGGCCTCGCGAAGGCCCGCAGGGGCAGGCACAGGTCCACCCACCTGGGTGGGTTCGTTGGCCAGCACGGACCCCCGACGTCATGATTTCTTCAGAACTCAGGGGGGGGAACACGCACACACACACACACCAACACACATCAACACACACACACACACACACACACACACACACACACACACAAAACACGCACACACAAAACACGCACACACACATTCACACACACACACAAACACGCACACACACACACACGCACACACACGCACACACACACACACTCACACACACGCACGCACGCACGCACACACACACACGCACACACACGCGCGCGCACACACACGCAAACACACACACACACACACACGCACACAAACACACACACACGCACACGCACACGCACAGCACACGCACACGCTCACGCAAACGCACACACACACACACACGCACGCACACACACACACACACATACGCACACACACGCGCACACACACACGCAAACACACACACACACCACACGCACCACACGCACACGCACACGCGCACGCACACGCACACACACACACACAGCACACGCACACGCACACGCACACGCACACGCACACGCACACACACACACGCACACATACGCACACACACACACACACACACGCACGCACGCACGCACGCACGCACGCACGCATGTAAACGCACGCACACGCACACGCACACGCACACGCACACGCACGCACGCACACACACACACACACTCACTCTCTCTCACACACATTCAGATGCAAAGCAGCGTTGATTCCCAGGAACACATCGGAAACCATGGGAAGTGAGGGGGGAGACGAAACCACGGAAAGTATGGGAAGATAGGGAATCTTTGGTCCAGTGGAAGTGGGGGGGAAGACGAACACATGGAAAATATTGGAATATTGGGAATCCTGGGATCTGTGTCTATTCATTTGTGTATGTCCCTGGACCAATTCAAAAACGTAGACCCCCAGAGGTCTCGACCCATCCCCCGGGACCCGTTTTTCATCCCGACTTGTTCTTTGACGGTTCCGAGGCTTGGCGAGGGCTCCCAGAGGCTGAAAGCAGCGAAAAACTTCCCGTCGCGATTTGTCCATGACTCGAGGGGGTCTGGGAGTGAGGCCACGGCCACGCCAGTGGGCCTCGGGATGGGTTCAAGGATGCTCCGAGCACTGATCCCGACCAGGCAAGTCCTGGGCCGAGCACGGGCCTAGCCAGGACGTGGCGCTGGTGTGTGCGCAGATTCGCGATCTCCTCGGCGGCGCCCACGAGGGGGTCGGCGCGATGGGGGGCGGCGTGCTGAGAAGGCGGAGGGGTTTCTCAGAAGCAGGGCTCGATCTAAACGGCGTTCTGGCGATCTCGTGGGCCGTTCTCGCTTCGATGCCGCTCTGCGGCAAAACGGCGGAACCGAGAGGCGGCGTGGGACAACGAGAGCCAGACGAAGACGGACGCCACCGCTTGGGCCGAGCCCCGGACGAGCGGGCAGGGGCCCGCCCAGGAGGCCCCCCGAGGCTTCCAAGACGGCCTCTCGGAAGCAGGGCGTCGGCGTCGCCCCAGCGTGCGACTCTTCTCTGTGCGTCGACCCCCCGGGGGGGGCGACGCGCGCACCGAGGGACCTCACGGTATGTGCGTCGTGGCGGGCGCTTCCTGGCCGCACGCGCTCGGAAAACGTGAGCTACACGTTTGGGTCGGGCGCGCACGCCTCCGAGGAGGACGCATAGGCCCAGCGCAGGGGGCGACGCGCGCAGCGAGGGATCCGATGGTATGTGCGTCGCGGTGGGCGCTCGCTGGCCGCACTTCTCGGCAGCCAGTATACTACAGTCAAAAACCCTAATAAGGACGCGCGACTTTGCTCAGGGTACCCTTGCGTCCTTGCTCTTCCTTGCTCTTGCGGCTCGTTTTTGACTGTAGAAGATTCGTGTATTGTACGTTCGGGCCAGAGGCACGCCTCCGAGGAGGACACACGAGGCGTTCCAAAAAGGGCCTTCACTTCGAGGGTCGAAGGAGTTGTGCCGTCTCTTTCGCGGCGGAAGGGCGGCGCAAGGTCGGCGAAAGTAAAACGAGGTCGCCTCCGCCGGCGGAAGCCGGCGGAAGGGCGGCGGAAGGCGGCGGAAGTAACAGATGCGCCCCCCAGAGATGAACACACTTGCTCCGCCCATGCATATAGTTTAAGATTTGTGCACTATACGTTTGGGTCGGACGCACGCCTCCGAGGGGGACGCACAGTACACCGGAGACCCATGCCAGGAAACACCCTGGTTGCCTCCAGGGTGCCCTGGGTGTCCTGGGTCTCGATTGTCTTGCTGTGGAAGGCGCGATGCTCCCGCACCAAAAACATCAATGGACGTCCTGGGGTCTCAGGGTTGGGTCTCTTGCGGAAGGTTTCTTGTGGTGCGGCCCCTACTGCACCAGCATGTCCTCTGTGCGTCCCACCTTGCCCTCTCTGAGGCGCCGCGCCGCCCTCTTCTAATCAGAGCGTGAATTACCTACCCCGCTTTCGCTTCCAGGCAAAACCAAGTCATACCACGCGCCTCCTCGTCAAGCTGCCTGACCAGTACAGGCCGTAGTTTTGCATCGCTTGGTATCTCTTGGAAGCAAGGGTGGTCAAAAGCGAGGTAGGTTTCTTTGCCCCCTATATAACCAGAGAGCCGCCTCCGAGGGGGACGCACATCACCTCTCGAAGGCGCCGCGCCCCTTACCCTTGCCGCGCCTTTCCCTCTCGAAGGCCCACCTTGCCCCACCTTGCCCTGTCTCGAAGCAGAAATCATTACATAAACATACACTTTCGGCGCTCCGCGCGGATTTCTCGGATCCGCGCTGGGGCCCCCTGGCGGCGCCTCCGGCGCCGCCCCGGCGCGCTCCGCGCGCCAGGGAGGGGGGGCCCAGCGCAAGTCCGAGAAGTCCGCGCGGACCGCGAAAGTTTATATGCTTGTGTTTTTTCCTCTGCCGTCCAAGGCCCACCTTGCCCCTCCTTGCGGTGTCCTTCGTGCGTCCCGCCTTGCCCTTCCGGATCCGACGAAGGCATCTGTACACCACCGCCGTGCCAGGGCCAGGGCCATCCTGGGCCCCAGGATGGTGTGTAGACCCTGGCCTCGGCCAGGAGGGCGTGCGTCACCCCAACATACTTACACTATATGTGCGTCGCCCCCCCCCCAGGGGAGACGCGCGCACCGAGAAATCTTATAGTATATGCGTCGTGGGGGGCGCTTTATGGCCACACCGCTCGGGAAACGATCTACCACAAGATGGTACACCATATGTTCGGGTCGGACGCGCGCCTCCAAGGAGGACATATAGTATTAGCATGTCCCTGTGCGTCCCTCCCTGGGGCCCAGGATGGCCCTGGCCCTGGCACGGCGGTGGTGTACAGATGTGGAGGACGGTCCATGAGAGGAAGCATGCTGCCAAACAATTTCCAGATGCCTGAAACATGTTTCAAGCATGTCATATATATGTGTGTATATATAGATACAACATGTTTGAAGCGTTGTTAGAACATGTCGCACACATGTTTAACATATGTTTTAGCTCAATGATCGGATTGTTAGAGTGCCCCTCGTCACGGCATCCACAAAGCTGTCTTCTGCGTGTCGGAGGCGCCGCCGCCGCCCTCCTCTCGGCCGGAGAGCCGCCCCCCCCGCGCCGCCGAGCTCCGTCTCCAGGGGGGCGCCGCCCGCCTGCCGGCCCTCGCTGCGGTCGGCCGCTGGCTTCCCCCCCCCCCTCGTTCGACTTCGGGCCGGGCACGCCCCGCTACAGGAGGAGTGCTCGAGGTTGTGGTCGACGGTCAGTGGAGAGGAAGCGTGCTGCCAGAGAGCTCTCGGATGTCCCAAGCATGTTTTGAGCATGTCTTGAAGCTGCGAAAGCATGTGTTGAGCATGTTTTGAGCATGTCTTTCGACTTCGGGTCGGGCACGCAGGGCTCACTTCAATGCCTCCGACTTCGACTCCATCCGATTTGGAGGGTGGAAAAAAAAACGCGGGGGGTGCAACAGAAACGCGCTTTCGACTGCGGGTGTGAAGCAGACCCCGCATTTCGAGGGTTTTTTTGTCACCCCCCGCATCTCGAGGGTTTTTTCACCCCCGCACTCTCGACTTCGGGTCGGGCACGCAGGGGCTCACTTCGATGCCTCCGCTTTCGACTCGATCCGATTTCGATGGATTCCGATTCCGATCCGATTGGACTTCGGATTCCGATTTGGGATCCGATTTCCCAATGGCGGCCCAGTAGCCTGCCGATGTCTACCGATCAATGGAGAGGAAGCATGTTGCCAAATAACTCCCAGATGTCCAGCACATGTTTTGAGCATGTCTTGAAGCTGCGAAAACATGTTTTAAGCATTTTGAGAACCTGTGCCGAACATGTTGAAAACATGCCTAATTCAATGATAGGACTGTTAGGGTGTTCATTCTCATGGCATCCACAAACTCAAGGGTACGGCTCCACCCTTTCGACTTCAGGTCGGGCACGCAGGGCTCACTTCGATGCCTCCGGTTTCGACTCGATTCGATTTCGATGGATTCCGATTCCGATTCGATTCAACTTCGGATTCCGATCTGGGGTCTGATTTCTCCTAAGGGTGGCCCAGTAGCCTGCCGATGTCTGCCGATTCGGCCGTTCCCAACTCAGCTGCCGATTCCCGTCGATCCGATCCATGTCGATCGCCGATCCGACTTGTCGATTTGATTCTAGGCTCTCTTGGGCACGTCCTTCTACAGGAGGAATACTTGAGGGTACGGCGC